AATGGTCCCAAGCTGCGTATTTTGTATTTTGGTCCGAGCGCATCACGACTCGACGACGCATGGGCTGCTCACCCTATTTCGCTGTTACGGGCACCCATCCGCTCATTCCTCTCGACATTGTCGAAGCTACGTACCTGCAGCCACCACCGACTTCGGTCCTTTCGACAACCGATCTCATCGCCCGTAGGGCCATTGCGCTTCAGAAACGCGTCGAACAAGTCACCGAACTCCACTCGAAGGTCTACAAAGCACGTCGAACTGCAGCAATTCGCTTTGAGAAAGAGCACGAGCACTCGATCCAGGATTTCGACTTCAAGCGCGGAGCCCTAGTGCTCATACGCAACACGAAGATCGAGAAGTCCCTCAACCGCAAGATGCGCCCGCAATACCTAGGCCCCCTCATCGTTGTCTCGCGCAACAAGGGCGGCGCGTACATCGTGTGCGAACTCGACGGTACAGTCCTCGATCGACCCATCGCAGCATTCCGCGTCATTCCGTACTTCGCGCGCAAATCCATACCAATTCCCGAAGATCTCGAAGATGTCTCGACCGAGCGTCTTTGAGAACTCGAACTATCGAATTCTCTAGGCGACGACGACAATGATGAAGTCGAAGAAGCCGAAGAACGCGACGAATAGAGGTTCTTCCCTTTTATTACTTGTACAACACGATACGTACTTTCTTCTCTCCATTCCTGCTCTCACGTTACGCGATATGCTTGATTTTTATCCTACATTCCAGACCATCCCTTGTACGAATACCTTCGATTCAACTCGATAGTCGCGACATCGTTCGACGTTCTACGAACGCTTCGATTCGACTGTTGCGCGGAGGCTCACCTTAGACGAGTCCTCCTAGGCTGTGATGACAAACTGAGCCTATATTTTCATTAAGCCCATTTTCCCTCACTACGAACATTTTGATTTCACCTTCTATGCCCTTCGATCATATTACGACTTACTTCGAACACACTTATTTGCATTTCCTTTTCTTAGTTCCCACTAGGTTTTGTCTAGGCCAAGGGCCACATTTTTGATTCGACTATGGACACAATATTCTACGACATAAGGACAACTACGATACAAGACGACCCGCACCATCGCCTACTCATCGTCTACAGCCCCGCGCACGAAACCGATCCCTCCCTTCGCAAGCGCGGCCTTCTCCATCTTCTGGAGGTCGAGGTCCATGTCGTGTAGGAGCGCTCGACAGCGCGCGATGTGAGCGCGCTCCTCGCGGATGACGCGAATGATGCCCCGAGATTCGTCGTCGAGGTCAAGCGCGTCGAGGTCGTCCTGTTCGAGGCCCAGGCGGCTGGCCCCATCGAGAGGCCGTCGTAGAAGGGGTCGCGGAGGCTCGTCGACTCGGCGCTTCTTCGAACCACTCGCATCCGCGACCGAAGGCCCAGGAGAGGCCGGCCGAACTACGAAGTCGTCAGCCAAACTTTAGGACAACCGAAGAAACGACTTACTGCGCTTTTTGGTGGTTGATCCCCCGCCGCGCGTTTTCTTCGTCTTCCCAAGCACGGACACCTTGTCGAAGTAGCAGCCCTGTTGGAACTGCGCACACCTCTCGCAAGTCGTGGCGTTCTCGGCCCACACGCAATCGACCGGGGCCGAGCGGTAGCCGGCGCAACGATCGCACTATCGAAGAGTTAGCTTCGAACCGACTCGACGGAGCATCGAACGTACCTTCTGTCCGGCCTGGCGCTTCTCAATCGCCGCGGCGGCCATGTCGACCTCGGTCATCGCGAGCGGACGTTCGAGCGTCCGAGGAGTCTTCTACGAAAGAGAGGTTAGTCATCAAACGACGGTAGAAGAAAAACACTTACGATCGAAGGGTCGTCCGACAACTCGGCGACCTCCTCGTCGACTCTCGCGCGCCCTTTACCCTTGTCGACACCGGCAGGCGCAGGGTCGGGAAGGAGTCCTTCGGCGGCCGCGATCCTCGCCAACTCCTCATTGGCGGCCTCTTGTGCGCGACGCTCATCTTTGGCGGCCTGTCTGAGACGGTCCTCTTCATCCTTTCGATGCCGTTCATCTTCGAGGCGACGGTCCTCGGCGGCCTTCGCACGCTTTGCGGCCTCTTCGACGCGTCGTGCTTCCTCTTCGGCGAGGCGCTTCTGCTCTTCGAGACGTCGTTCGACCTTGGCGTCGATGGCGGTCGCGAGTTCTGGCCAGTCACCACGCGCCCATTCGACCCAGGACTCCGACGCCCGCTCGGCGAGTTGCTTGATGGCAGCGGCGACGCGCAGCTCCGTCTCCTCGTCGCGGATGGCGCCCAAGGCCTTGCGATAGGCGAGCTGTTCGAAAACAAAGGGTTAGTTGGGTTAGGCAGATTTACGAGCGACTTACCACGAGTGGCGACAAGTCTTGTGCCCACTCTTCGACCACATCGAGCGCGGCATCGGCAGTCGGCGGAGCCTCGAGGACCACAAGCAGAGAGGCGAGGCGGCGGTTGACGAGCGAAGGCGTCGAGGCAGGGGTGGCAGAGCGAGCAGACATCGTGGAAGCAGTGAGTATACGGGAAAGGACGACGAGGTAGCGACGAAGGAACGATGGGATGGGGAAAATAAGGCTAAGTCTACCCTGCTTATAACCCCTTTCCGACCAGCGTTTAGCGCCGGCCACGTGGCGTTCGAAACCGACGCGGGTTGCCATTCCGCTTCGATCCGTTCACGACCATCGCGCTTCTCGCATCACGTGGAGGACCGAGGGCGGTCCAAATTTCAATAGGGAGGAGATGATAGGCGCCGAGCCCTGCTGGGCCCCGATACACCTCTTTTCGGCACTCGCATCCCGCCCGGCACTTCGACCCAGTCTCCCAACAGGTCGATTTCGCCTTCGACGCTCTTCGACACCTTCGACGGTGCGCGACGCTTACTCGAAGCTCGGCACGGTCTTCCCGATGCCTCGTGCGTAGACCTCGGAACATCTTCCGCATTCGGCGAACAATAGGGCCACTTGACGCCGCTCGGCCAAGCGCGCGCTTCGCTCCAAGCCACACCAAAGTAGCCGGTCTTTCCCAATTGGGTATCGAACCTCGCGGCATGCCTTCACGACGGCTACCGGTCCGAAGTGGCCATATGTTGCCCTTCATCTCCGCGTTCGGCATGACGTCACTCTACTGATGGACTTGGTATGTGCCCCTCGGTGAGGCAGCTTCTTGAGGAACAATGCAAAGCCCCTTGTACCCGTATGCCACTCTCGAATAGTTGTAGCATCCTGTGTAGTATAAAATCTGTCGTACTTCTCTCTAAAAATACAGGATCCGTCCCCCCCCTCGAGTTCAGAGCTCATAAGTCGAGTTCGCCCTGCGTCTACGTCCTCAACTGCGTCACTTCGTTCCTCACTGCGTAACCTCGAAACCTCGTCCACTGCGTTCACTCGTCGATACCGTCTCGACAAACCCTTCGACTTCGACTATTGTCGAAGAAACTGCGAACCGCACCCTAGCTAAGTACACCCTATCGAATCGTGTCCCTTCTCTCTACGATACATCGAAGAGCTCTGCCGAGCTTCAATCGTCGCTAACTTTCCACAGCTTCCGAGTAGCTTCGACGACGTGTC